ACTCACATCACTAAACACATGTACTTTTATTACCATTAACAGTACTTTTGTTCCGATAAACACATAGTAAAAGTATATGATATATATTATGAACAAGCTAGTACGTACTTCTCACACAGATGGACTAGCTACTACCATTTTCAAATATTCAAAATCAGCGCTAAAAGTTAAGGTAGTTTATTTTTATCAAAGTTTATAGTGGATATTTTTCATTCTACTATATTCAGGAATATCATTTTATTTGTGTTGTGATTGGAGTAAGCATTACATTTCATAGAGAACTTGGTGCTTCCAAATGACTCTACTTGCCCATGAAATATCTTTCTTTAGAACACATCCATTAACCTATGTTTATTTGAGATGGTTACTCATAAAATAAAATAAAATAAATCTTACGCGAGTTCATTTTCATTTGCTCTTATTCGAATGTTTTTTTTTTTGTTTTAAAGTGTATAGGGTTGAAAACGATACTATGATAGGGAATCCAAAAGCGGTGGTACGAGACTTTCCTTTTTTATCAAAATATCTAATAAAAACGGTTGCGCTAAAAATTTTAAACAACAACCTTCGTATTTAGATAAAACAAAAACGGTTAGAAAAGATATCATAATACAGAAAACAATATCAAGCAGTATGGTATTTTCCTGTATTGTTGTCACCCTTGAAAATGTAAGCTAAAAGGGAGATATGACCAATTAAGCAAAAAAAAATCTTTTATTAAAAAACTGTACAAGCCATGAATGATTCAAACTCGAGATCTTTGGGCTTAAAAACATAATGAGTTGTACTCACAAGGCGGTTGGCCCAAAATGATAAGTTATTGCCAGCTGATAAAGATAGACAATCCACTTGTACTAAAAATATCTCTTGCAATGGCCTCAACCTCTCTGCCATATAACTATTTCATGGGTAAAGTAAGAGATGCCAGTGAAGAAGAGGGAAAGGTAAGGGATGGAAGAAGGTGATAAACCCCTAGAGTTTGTTGCATTCTTCTGCCCCTATCCGGTACTTATCATACATTCTTTTGAAACATGACACAATTTTCATATGGTTTCACTAAACCTTAACCAACCAAGTCCTGGTGCACCTTTATTTGGAAATATGTTCTATAACAGTTTACATGATTTTTTTTTGTTGAAACTCAGACCTCAAATATCTAAGGGTATGTTTGGGAGGAATTCTTCAAACTGTTTTGCTTAGAAATAGAAGAAATTATAAAAAAAAAACTAATGTGGAGATAAATTGGATAATCCCTACCAAAGATATGTGATCAAGAGTGCATTTGGTAGGGATCCATATTCTTGTGAAACACTCTGATCAGTTAAGAGACCATTTGGCTAGTAGGCTAGATAAATTGTTATAAAAATGTTTTTAGAAAAAAATCATATACTTTTTAGGCAAAAGAACAACTTAAACATAACCCAATTTAACTTGCAGGAGAAAAGCCCATGAGACGGCCTAGAGAATTCCGGCGAAACTGGCCGGTGCTATTTCGATCCGATGAAGGAAAGGTGAAACGTTTCAGGTCCGTGAATGCCCCCGCTGCAACTGTGCTCGGAACCGTTTACGACGCTTCTCGTGAGAAAGGTGTCTGATTGTAGCATCAAACACACTCTCATCACATACCAGAGAAACCTATCTCACAAGAGAATCAGTTTCTATCACACAAAAGTGTCTCTTCAAGAATAACAAGACAAATAGGGAGCTAAAAGTCATACAAGAGAAACCTCCTAGCTCAAGTCTAAGGGCACATGCCGCCCCATACCGTAGGCAGGCAGGCAGGCAGAAGCTGAGCAAGAAGAAGCATCTACAAAAACAGAAAGAGAAGATAGTTTCTCCCAGCACAACATAGCATAGCATGTGCAGTATGGCAAAGTATCATCCTCATCATCATCTGCCACCCCAGCACACCCACAACTCTCTCTTTTTTTTCTCCTCGTGTTTTTATTCCTACAAGGTAGCTAGCTGGCTGGGTGGAGTGGAGAAATGACAAATCCAGGCCCGCAGGTAGCCACCCACCAAATCGGACCACGCAGGGTGCCCAAATCAGGAAGGATTTTAAGGTTAACCGGCTGCCACCGGCCACCGCCGGTGACCCCTCCTTTCCCACGCCGGAGCCGGATTCAGTGACTTTATGAAGCTAAGTCACAGTGTAACTTTGCCTCGATCTCCACTCTCCAACTATCATCTAACGGCTGTACAGATTTCCAGGTCCACCAGCCCACACAGCAGGCCACGCACAAAAGATTCTGACAGTTTGCAGGTGAAGCAAAAAAAGACCGGCAGCAGCTCACTGTCAAGAATAAAACTGGGAGCCAACAAAGTAATATTGCTAAAATAATACAAATAACTCTATACATTTTAGCAGACGAAAGAAGGAAGACCAGAAAATTAACGACTCCCCTAACCGAAGCAGATGAAAAAAAGGAAAAAACAAAAAACAAATAAAAAATATGAAAACATACCAAAATAAAACACTCCTATTAGTTTATGGATTTATATTATTTATACTCTTATATTTTTCTATTTGGATAGATTCCTATTCATGTATTTAGGATCGAAGGGATCTGGATTAGAATTTTTAGTTATCTAGGTTACCTCAATAAACTTTACATATGTTATATATAAAACATGAGGGTGTAGGCAGATGAGTACAGAGAATTTCTACGTTCACCAAGTTAGTTATATACAATACAATAAATCTGAAGGGCAGCTTCCCTAATCTAAGTGAATGGAAAAAATGTAGACTAAAAAAATGAAAAAAAAAATGAAGCGGACTCTACTAAATGAAAAAGGAAAATAAAAAAAAATAAAAAAAATCTGAAAAAGTACTAAGATCAAGAAACTCCTCTTAGTTTACAGATTTATTATTTACTTGCAAATGTACCCGTGCGTTGCAACGAAAATCAATGTATTTAGGAACCAGACTCTGTATCGTAGCTAGATGTAAGCTGTTTTAACTTGAATAAACATGGTCATAAGTCCGAGTCATATATGATATACGTGGAGAGAATTTTTGCCTGTTTCATAATAACTAGCAAATATGCCCGTGCGTTGCAATAGGAGAATAAAATACCAAACATGGCCATGATTTCTATTTTATCCTTTTCTATTTGTTTATTAGTATTTGTATTCAACTTACTCATTCAAGAGATTTATTAGGATAGCAAACATGTCCGTGCGTTGCAACGGAATATAATACATAGTGAGTTATAGCATGGGTCATGAGTTCGAGTCAAAAATTAAATTAATTTAGTGGTAAAAATCTTTGTTTCGTAAGAGTCAAAGATTAAAATGGCTATGATCTCTTATTCAGTTTATTCAAGCTCGGAGAGATCTATTTGTCATAACTATCTAGAGTCATATAAGTCTAGACAGAAGAAACTCTCAACTATCAGTAGTTAGGGAGAGGTGAACGAAAGAAATGGATGGACGAAAAAAAATGATCAAAATTTTTGCCTCTTTATTATATATATATATATATATATATATATATATATATATATATATATATATATATATATATATATATATATATATATATATATATATATATATATATATATATATATATATATAGACTATCAAATATGTTCGTGCGTTGTAACGTGAGAAAAAAAAACTATCGAATGTTCATAATAAATGATAGACCTCTCTCTTTTTCACATGTCAGTCTTTATCGGAATTATACTTTTATTTAGATTAGATTAGACATTAAACTGTTCAGGATTCTAGTTTATGAGTTAGACCATTAGTTTAATCGTTCAACTCAGAGAAATAAAAAACAATTAAAAATCGAGCGGAGGCTAAAAGAGAAATAATATGGAAAAGAAAAATGTAGATATAGATGTTAACTAAAATGTAGGAAGTTATTTGTGTTGTTTTTGGAAATATTATTTTGTGGCTGCTAGTTTATTCTTGAGAGGGAGTTGCTGCCGGTCATTTTTCTTCACCTATAAACTATCAGAATCTTTCTCCCTGTGCTGGTCTATCTACTGTGCGTGGCCTGCTGCGTGGGCTGGTGGCCTAGAAATATGTACAGCCGTTAGATGCTAGTTGGAGAGTGGAGATCGAGGCAAAGGCCTTGTTTAGTTCGCGGTCAGGAATCAGCGTTCGACGCTGTAGCATTTTTGTTTGTATTTGATAATTATTATCTAATCATAGCCTAACTAGGCTCAAAAGATTCGTCTCGTAATTTACAATCAAACTATGTAATTAATTATTTTTTTATCTACATTTAATACTCTATGCATGTGTCAAAGATTTGATGTGATGAAAAGAATATGAAAAAACTTAGAATCTAAACAAGACCAAAGTTACATTCACCCTATACGTTTACTTGTAAGCCGTATACAGTAAATCAATCAATAATACTTTTAGTCGTAACTTATCACACGAGCGAGCTAGCAGGCCAATTGTCACTTTGCTCCATAGAGTCACTGAATCCGGCTCCGTATCGACTCTCTCTTCTATGTATATATTACCCGCCTCTTTTCCTTCCTCCCTCCCTCCGCCCCACCTTCTTCTTCTTCCTCAGCTCCGTCGCCCACCGCCACCGCCGGAGCTCGATCCCAAAGGCCCCGCCTTTCTTGCCTTTAGCTAGCTCCGTCCCCCAGCTCGTTCTCCCTAGCTTGCTAGCTAGCTAGAGAAGGAAGGAAGGAAACGGTAGCTGACAGTTGATTGGTGGTCCGGGGTACGGTGTTCTTGAGTCCTGAAGCGACCGTACAGTGGCTAGGGCGTCTCCGGGTTGCATGCAGGATGGTCGTCAAGGATCGGGAGTGAGGAGGCAGCTGCTCGTGGCCGTGGAGGCTAAATGTACCGCAAGAACGACTCGGCACTCTCCTGCTTCTACCTCTTCCTCCTCTGGTTCTTCTTCTTGAAATAGACCAGCTCACCAGCACCAGGTAGCTACTAGTAGCAGTAGCAGCCCAGTTGCGATTGGGGATCGGTCGCGGGCTCTCGTTTATTTGCGAGTTGGAATCTTGGAGAGGAGGAGGGAGATGGAGCTGGATCTGAACGTGGCCGAGGTGGCGCCGGAGAAGCCGGCGGTGATGGAGGCCAGCGATTCGGGGTCCTCCGAGTCGTCGGTGCTGAACGCGGAGGCGGCGTCCGCGGGCGGCGGCGCCGCGCCGGCGGAGGAGGGCTCCAGCTCGACGCCGGCCGTGCTCGAGTTCAGCATCCTCAGGAGCGACAGCGACGCGGCCGGCGCGGACGAGGACGACGACGCCACGCCGTCGCCTCCTCGCCATCACCAGCACCAGCAGCTCGTCACCCGGGAGCTCTTCCCGGCCGGCGCCGGCGCCGGCTCGCCGCTCCCGGCGCCGCAGCATTGGGCCGAGCTCGGCTTCTTCCGCGCCGACCCGCCGCGCCCTCAGCAGCAGCCGGACATCAGGATCCTGCCGCACCCGCACGCCACGCCGCCCGCGCCCCAGCCGCCGGTGCAGCCGCAGCCGGCCAAGAAGAGCCGCCGCGGCCCGCGCTCCCGCAGCTCGCAGTACCGCGGCGTCACCTTCTACCGCCGCACCGGCCGCTGGGAGTCCCACATCTGGTCAGTACAACTACACCCATCGCCGCCATCCTTTCACCTACCAACCAATCAATCGCTTGTGAGTCTTGTTCTGACACAAACGTTTCCTCCTCTTCCTGTTCCTCGGATCGAAATGCAGGGATTGCGGAAAGCAGGTGTACTTAGGTGAGCAGATTTTAACTCCAATTTGTACTAGTAATCCTTGTATTAATTTTCCGTTATTTCCTGATCTCGAATGGCCTAACCGATTCAGTGATCTGGCTGGCCAATACAGGTGGATTCGACACTGCTCATGCTGCTGCAAGGTACGCACGCACAGAATTCTGCTCTGAACCCGTACTGAATTCTGCCCGATATATCTACTCTTGTCTGATCGGATTAATCACTCTTGAAACTTGCAGGGCGTACGATCGAGCGGCGATCAAGTTCCGCGGCGTCGACGCCGACATAAATTTCAATCTCAGCGACTACGAGGACGACATGAAGCAGGTCGGTCTACAGGAATGTTTTTGCAACATCCACTGAAGGCCTCGTTTGGACGTGTATTTATTCATCTCAATCCACGTGTATTGAAGTGGATTAGGGTGAAATTAAACTAAGTTCCATTCCAATCCACTCTATGGATTGAATTGAATACCCATGCATCCAAACGAGGCCGAAACATCTCTCTGCAGCTGCTGAATATATGGCTGTCCTGTTTGGTGCGCCAGCTGAAGAGCCTATCCAAGGAGGAGTTCGTGCACGTCCTGCGGCGGCAGAGCACCGGCTTCTCGAGGGGCAGCTCCAAGTACAGAGGCGTCACCCTGCACAAGTGCGGCCGCTGGGAGGCGCGCATGGGGCAGTTCCTCGGCAAGAAGTAAGAACACTTTATTTGCAGACTGAATTCCACACCCCCTTTCGGAATCTCTACACTTGCTGCAAATTCATCCTTGTGCCTTTCCTCTGTTAGTTCATGCATGTTATAGTCTTGATCGAGTTCGTTCCTAGCAGATGAACTCCGATCCTATGTATGATTTAGTACTAGTTTATGTATTGTTCAGTAACAGCATAGGTTAGATGCATGTATGTAGCTTGATTAGTGGTTGTTTCAAAAATAAAAAAAGGAATTAATAGAAAAGGGAAGTGGCTAGGGAATTCCTCAGTCCTCACCGGTGGGAACGCCGTGCTTGGGTGCAGGTACATATATCTTGGGCTATTCGACAGCTTAAGTAGAGGCTGCAAGGTTGTTCATCTTGGATTCTACCATTCATGCCAAAACAAAAAAAGTTTTTATATTTTTTTTATCATGTCTTTTGATTTCCAAAGGGTTGAGTACCGACTCGATTCTTGTTTCTCTTCCTGATTTCAAAATTCAGGGCTTACGATAAGGCCGCGATCAAATGCAATGGTAGAGAGGCCGTGGCAATTTCGAGCCAAGCACATACGATGGGGAGCTGCTGACTGAAGTTAATGCTGAAGGTAGTGGCTTGTTGATAATTGTTTTTTGCATATAATCTTCAGTTGATGTTGATAATTAGCTGATCAGCTGATGAACTTGTTTGGATTCAACCTAGGTATTATTGGCTAAACTGCTTGATTTTTTTTTGGCTTCTACAGTTGCTGAAGTTGATCTTAACTTGAGCATATCTCAACCGGCATCTCAGAGCCCAAAAAGAGATAAGAACTGCCTAGGTCTGCAGCTCCACCATGGATCATATGAAGGCTCCGAATTGAAAAAAACAAAGGCAAGCGCTAACGCTGACAAGTATCAAAATCAGTAAAATTTTCTTCTCGAATTTCATTGGCTACCAAGTTTCGCTCTCACCATGCTAGTGACGTAACTACCATGCCTCTTATGGATCAAGTCCTTTTCATAGTTTACCTCCATCCTGTTTCTACAGCTGTTAGTGGCCCGGTTTCATTTGACTGACCCCACAAGTCGGAATCATTAGGCAAATTATTTTATCGCATAGCAATAGGTTTCTCTTTCTGGGTGGTCATGACAGTTGAGCAGAACATTTTTTTTCCTACCAAAAATGAATTGTTTAAGGAATTATAGAGCGTGGACAACTTGGGAGCTGCTGATAATTCAACTGAAAATCTTTTGCTTCTGATGCAGATTGATACTCCCTCTGAGCTGTCGGGCCGCCCTCATCGGTTCCCTCTTATGACTGAGCATCCACCGGCCTTTCCTGCTCAATCTCACCCCTTCTTCACAAATCATGAGGTTAGGCGATAATAAATTACTGAAATATAGGCAGTTAAAAATTAGTTTGCTAAATCTTACAGTTCCAAGGTTTGTCAAAAGTCAAAACTAGCATTGCATGGTTTTGGGTCAAATTGTTCGTGTTGTGCAAATAAATCTGGCATGCCATCTTGAGTCTTGACCATATGATGAACAAACAGATTGTGCAGTGTAGCCTGAAGGTGTACTTTCAGATATCAGATTTTTATTAGTTGGTTTCGTCCAGTTGCCTTTCTTGTGCGGCTGTCAATGTAGCTCTTGTCTCACATCGCTTGCTCATTTTCTTGGATTCTAGAGTCCACCTGTTCCCTGTCGATTTCAGTGATGTTAATGCGCTGCACGATTTTTCTTATAGGATGTTGAATTTCTTGAGTTGGCCTAATATGGGAATAATAGTACTAGCAGCTTTATGAATAGAGAGTATGTACATATGTTTGATTTTTTCCTTCAAAAGGAATGTCCTAGACTGGTGAGTGGTGACACTTCAACGTTAGGCTAATTAAATCATCGGCCAACTATGCCTGGCGCCTGCACCCAAGAACATTTCAATAATGTAACTTTTCATGTATTGTCTGTTATATATACAAGTGTGGCTATTTTTTCGAACCTTCCTTGAAAATGAAAACAAAAGATGATATACTAGGGAATTTGCCATCTTTTGTATTATAGTGAAATCATTGAACTAGTAGAAGTACTTTTTTTTTAAGGTAAAGGCAGGAGCTCTGCCGCTCAATTAAGTAGGAAAAGAGGTTTATGTACACATGGCAACCGCTATGCCGAACACATGGTTCTAGGACCAGAGTAGAAAAAATTCCAAAACCCCACTAATTTGTTTGCCCACCCATTGTCATCGCCCTATGTCTCTGCATTATGTCCTCTTTGGTCATGGAGGCAACTTGTTGCGCCGTCTTGTGCACGTTTTGAAAGATCCTCTTATTCCTTTCCTTCCAAAGGTTCCACACGATGTATATGCAAACTCCATTGAAGCGTCCGCGTTCTTGTTTTGGCACCTTGTTTGTCGTATGCTCCCACCAGGTGGCAAGTGTGGCAGGATCTTGCTGAGGCAGCTGCAAGGCGAAATTCTCCCAAGCCAGCACTAAGTTGACTGATAAAGTAGAAGTACTAAGTTTGCTGTTTGTTTCAAACAAAACATTATTTAATTTACCAATCAACCGGGGATAGTTTCTTCAAATTGATAAACTCTCGAACCTTTCATGATTCAGCTAACTTTAAGGTCAGTCTCACAATGTCGTTTTCTGATTCTATTGGACGGAAAGTTGAGCTTGACGTTTTCTGTTCAACTGAACTGATGGAAACACTAATTTGGAACAAGTTCCAACTTAATCGAAAGGCAGATCGACCTGGTGCCCATTTGCTTCAACAAACAAAATAAAAAAAAGGAACAAGCTTCCATCATCACAAAGTATTAGGATTAGTGAACTGTTCATTTTGTTCTTAATTAATCCTACTTTATCAGTCAACATGTATGCTGAATGAACTTCTGTTGCACCGTGCAGAGTGCATCATCGAGAGATCTTAACAGGAGGCCTGAGGGGGGTGTTCCCAGCTGGGCATGGAAGGTGACAGCAGCTCCTCCTCCCACCCTGCCGTTGCCGCTGTTCTCGTCGTCGTCGTCCGCTGCAGCATCATCAGGATTCTCCAATACCGCCACGACAGCTGCCCCATCGGCCTCCCTCCGGTTCGACGCACCACCATCGTCGTCGTCGAGCCATCATCGCCGCTGAGAATCAAGAAGCCAGACTGTAAATCTGCTGGGAAGCTGGCATTTTCCCCCCTCTGGGCGTTGCAACTTTTTTGGTTTTGCGCCGGCTGGGGTGGTTTCTTGTAGTGGATTGATTGGATCTTCATAACTGTATTTGCATACTGTCATACTGCCCAAGTGAAAATGATCCTCTCTTTACACTACACAGTACACACTGCTGCTCTTGGAGTTACTGTTGCTGCTAGAGATTGACTAACTTCAGCATCTGAGATACTTTGATTGATCTATATATACATTGTGTAGAGAATGTATCATTGCTGAAACTATTGACAGAAGTATATACAGGTTTGTTCTAGGTCACTCACCACTAGCTTGGTGGTTTGTAATCTGTGCTATGAGGGTTCTTTCGTAGCTGCATCATGTAATTCTCTTCGTCTTAATGAAACATGGGCTATATTCCCCCACCGCGAAAAATTGATTGAAGTATATACATGTTTGGTAAGGCTTCAAAGACCCCCCTACATGTGGACAAAGTTCTGGACGATTAATATTCCAGTTCCTTTCTTTGGCTGTCGATTCGGTTCTTGTCGTTCTTGCTTGCTTTGAAATCAAATTGCACTGCGTAGTGCCTCGTCCTGTCGCTGTTTGTTCTTGCACACAGTTACGAGAGGGAGGCCGAATGGACGGTGACGCATTTGGTGCAAGGATATACACTACTTTCTCCGTTCCAAATCATAGGTCGTTCTGATATATGACTTTTACTATATATATATATATATGTGTGTGTGTGTGTGTGTGGATATAATGCTACTATATTTAATTACATAACAAAAGCTAGAAAAAACAGAACGGCTTCTAGAGCAAAGTGAGAACCACATATGATTTCTTTTCCTGACCCAGCATAACTGTTGGCTTTGGTCATTTTGGAGTAAGACTAAGAAATGACAATAATCCACACCTCAACCTTTTACATACTTTAGCCATGGATACCAAGAGAACCTTTTGTCAAGGAAAGGATCAAGAGAAATGCTGACAGCTAGCTTACCACCGTCAGCGAAAAAGCCAAGGAATCTGTCATGTGAAGGAACACAATTTTTTTGACGCCCACTAGATACAGTACTAGATTACTTAGCTAGATAGATTCCATTTCAAACTCGAGGCCGGGGCGCATCGAGATTCGAGCACTGCCGCCTGTTCATCGATCGATTCATTCCCTCGCTCTTCATGCTGCATCATGGTCTCAAGCAATGAGAGGAATTATATTGTTTGTGATAAAGATAAAATGCTCTCCAACATGTGCATAGGTGCTGCAGTGATACATCGAATTTGGTATGGTGCTAGTACTAGGACCAATCCCATGACTCCAATTGATCCCTTGTTTACTCGTCTCCATGTGCCTCTGAAAGTGTAGTATACTAATTGCCGCACACAAGTTGGCAATTGTTTGTTGTTTCAGTGGGGAAGAAAGAGGCTGGCACTATCATCATCAACTTTACTATGAAATTAAGCAACATATATAGGCACATATATATATGAGATCCAACCCAATAGCGCATAGATAAATGTCAAGTGTATACTAAAGATATTTGTGCCATAGCTTCGCACGGTTGGTTCAGGATGCTTGTGTGTTATACTAGTATTTTGTCACAACATAACCATATTGACCTTCCTCTTGATATAAATGGATTTTCTATTTTTCTTGTATATAGGTCATGACTTTCTATTTGTCTCTAAATAAGAAAAGAGTTTGTTGACCAAGGCCTCTGAGTTTTGTTAAGTTTTAATCTTCCTAGTAATTCCAATTCTTCATCTTCATATTATTGATGTTGTTGCATTTTTTTTTTGAGCAATGATGTTGTTGCATTTTTTGAAGTGTAATAATATATATGTTGGAACCATCATTGGTTATTCCCGTGGTCCTAGAGACTTGTCAACAATATATAAAGGTTAACCACAGGGATTCTGAAAACATGAAATAAAGAATAGCTAGCCAAGGGAGAAGTAGCTAGTCTGTTTTGATACCTGTAAGTCTGTCCCTTCATTTATTCCGTCCTAGAAAGGACCACATAGTACATAGAAATATTCAAAGAACAAATCATCTGTTAGATCACCGACCATCCGGTACCATAGGAAAAATAGCCGCAAAGTGAGAGTACAACTGCCCATTTAATTTGCAACATAGAGATCGACAATATAGTAACCACTAAGCAACAAACGACAAGCAGTACTTATAATATATATGTGCGCTTTGTTCTTAATTAAGGCCAATTATTTTGGTTAAAAATATCGCCTTACCATGCTATAATATTGGCGGGAAAAACAAAATCAACCAGTGTATGAACTAATCTATGGGCTATCTACAAATTATGCCAGGCAAATTCAGTGCTCACCTCGAGCTAAGCCTAGATGTTTATATTTTTCTGAATTTATTCTAGAAACTAAAGATGCTATTATGGTTTTTCAGCGGTAGGAGACATGTCCATCAACAGCGAGATATAATATGATGGTTGTTACATGGGTGTTTATGGATGTATACGTATGTACTATGTAACTCAAAAAAAAATTAAAACCCACCTTAATTTTCATGAACTGAACCTATATATATGTTTAGCGGAAACTTGTACGTGGGTCTTCGATGTCAGTGACTGCGTGCTCTCGATGAAATGCATTGTAAGAAATTGCTTGTGCCCGTAGCAAATTGGGAGAAAGAATATAATTAAAAATTTTAAAATGGACAGCACTCGATCTATTTGGATTTTTTAAGGATTGGAGAGGCGTCCTTGTTTTTTGGTTTCAACCAGCCTTGTTTTCTCTCACATGTGTAAACCAACCAAATGAAACAGGCCCTTTCTTGCATGTGGTGTGTGTGGGTCTCTCTCTCTCCTTTTGGCATGCATGATTCCATTCTTCTTCCTCCGAGAGGAAATATATTGCTATTTTATACGGCGCCGAGTTACGTCACTGCTTACGTTAATTCCCAATCGGATAGTAATAATCTAACAACAACCTTATTGCATGACATGCATATATATATATATGGACCTACAAAATAATTTATTCTGTAGCCACCTCCATTTATATAATTTTATATATTAATTTACGATAATGTCAATACATAAGTGGCGGGATATTTATCATAACGTTATAGTAAATCACTTAGTAAGGAGTTACTATAATATCGTAAATTAACATAGTAATTATCGTAACTTAAAGTGGCTATAAAATAAGTTATTTTGTAGCCAGCTACATGATAGTGTATATATATATATATATATATATATATATATATATATATATATATATATATAATTTTATATTTAATTAGTTAAAACAAATCAGACAGGTACCGGTAGTAGTACTTATATCTGCCCCAAGAGCCCTGTTGGCGTTTTGTTTAATCTTCTGTTGCTGTGATTGATTCCTTGTATTAGGTGTTGTACTCGAAGGATCAGTTAGGTTCCTTTTTAAAAGTAGTCTTATGTATTGTTTGAATGCTCTTTGTTGGGTGGAGATAATCTTTTCAACTCTCTGTTGGAAAGAGTAATGTATGCACACTACTGCACATATATGTACTAGCTACTTGTTTTAGTATGCTGTTATACTCTTTAAACACCATGATTGCTGCTAAGCCTACCTTTGGTCATATGTGTGAGAGAGATGCATGGTACGGTCTTCAACTTTGTACTCCCATATTATATATGTATATTCTGTTCCTGCCAAAGTGATTGTTATATATTAATAGGTACGGTTGTAGTACTAAGCCATCCATGCACACATATATATATCAACCTGCAGCTCAAGCAAGCTGCAAATAAAATAAAGCTGATGATGATGTATTGTATGAAATAATACATGCGGCAGGGAGCTGATGAGTCAGATGACAGATGTAAGTTGAACCAGCAACTTGCTGTGTGTATTTCTTAATAATGTCTCGATTGGTGATCTGATGCTGATTCCTCTTTGGTTGTACACTCTTTTTTATTTGTTAATAATTCTCTGATCAAGTTGATGATGGAGATTAAATAAAGCCAGTTGTAGTCTAACTTAACTAGTAGTAGTACGGTAGTAGATCCGGGTTGGCCGGCGTTAGTAAATTATAATTTCATACATGTGCAATATGTTGTTAATATATATGGCAGCTACAAAATACAAACAAGTAGTGTCCTCTTAGCTAGGCTCTGTTTGATTTAGCTTTGAACCGTGGAAAAACTGTCGTGAACTATAAGCCATGGAAAAGTTGTGATGAATGTCTGCTGTGAAAAAAAGCTGTAAGTTATTTGATTGAAACATCTATGAAACCTATCCCCTCTGTTCATCTTCCTTGAAATAGTTGTAAATCATCTTTTTATTTGCACCAATTTAAAAAAAACAGAAAGTCAAAAGCGAAAAGCAAAACCTAAAGTGCTGCGAAAATCATATTACATACATGAAAGAAATCGCTTCAAGAAAAAACAGCTTCAGATTCCAACTGTTTGATTATCGTTTTGGCTGAACCAAACGCAACCTTAAAGTACTTTATATAGTACAGAGAGAGAGAGCGCGCGCGTTGTCAAGAGACATGCATGGATGCAGCCAAAAGGTAAATCACTCTATGCATATATGTATAGGGTGTTATGCTTGTTAACCTCGGTTGACACGACGTGATAGCTAGACGAGAGGCCAGCGGCAACCTACAACTGGATGTAGTAGGGCTAACATGCACTTCAGATAACAGAGACGCGGCACCAATAGCAGTATAGTGAACAGTGATGCACAATCCATCTGTACGTCGGCTGTCGGCATCGCGTGCCTGCTGTCACTCTCAAAATTGCTTGCTCTACATATATACATCGTCATTGGATTCACACGTGTACCACTGCGTGTGGTCGAGTGACATTATCCTCGTGAAATTTGTTCAGGTTTGGAAGTAAGCAGGAGGGGACCAAATCCTGAGAAAATCGAATTGATGAAATCCTTTATATCTTAGAAAGACACAATTATTTGAAGAAAATACTTTTTGTCGCTAATGGTAGACCCAAATGGATCCTCCACACGTTAATCCTAACTAGATATGCTATACGAAAAAGAAAAAAGATGTGTTGTAGAAGTTTTCATAAAATTAGAAAATCATTAAATATATCCAAGTAGCCCCTAAATTTGCATCGAAGTTACTCTCTCTAACATTATATCTAATAAAGTCACCCACCTCTTCCATTGTAATGTACTATAATATAAGAAATATTTAAGTTTGCATCTAAATTATCCACATGCCATTAAAAAATTAAACTAAAGTATCCTCTCAAAGTTACATCAAAAGGACCAATATATGCTATTCTAAATAATTATAACCATGAAATATGCCATACATATGTATTTCTAAGAGCAACTCCAACAACTAGGCTATTTTTGTTTTGGAGGCTATTTTATAATTTCTATAGCAAAAAGTAGGCTCCAACAGATGTGTTATTTGGCTCTGTAAAATAGGAAGCTGGTTATCCCTTAATTTTAGGTGGCCATATAAAGCCAACCACAGGCGCTAGCTATCTGAAGATGAGAAATAGCAAGGTTGTTGTAGACTCTTCTTTTTTGAGAAGTTTTCTATATTACAAAATGGCTAAACTATGAAATCTGGCTACTAATTTTAGCCAAGGTGTTGGAGTTGCTCTAAATCACGCACATCTACCACTCTCAAATTGTAAAAAGCAAACTTTTTTCTCTACGAGTTAAAACTAACTCAAAGAAAAGATACATGCAGCACAATTATACATGCATGCATGAGAGATAAATACATATTTCTACAACTTCACAATCATGAAGATACCATCTTAACCGATCATAAAATGGTGAAACTCAAAATTTATTTGTAATTGTATTAATCCTCCATGATACATTTATTAATTTTGACCAAAACACTCAACACACATATACATTTATATAGTTTAATTATGAACATTTTTTTTAAAAACACTACTGCACACACATAGTTTTTTGATAGAGGAAATTCAATATCTTGAACGTTGTGGTGCATGCAAAAGCATTATCATGCTATTGTAATAACTAAGAGTGTTGTCAAGGAAGCAGAATCAGTCTTTTTTAATAGAATATACAAAAGGAGAGTTTAGATAAAAGGTACAGTATGTACTAAAGAAATATAGAAACTAGTAAGATCAATATCTGAACACCTAAATCTAAATTCACGGCGTTACAGCGTATGGGATATAACAAGAGGTGGCATAACTTAGGCTAAGGCTTTAATTTATTAGCTAAACAGACATTAAAGATACATGGAGATGTAATGCAAAGAGGGAGAACTATAAATATGGATGGAAAAACATACAAATTAATTGGTAAAATCTTTACAATTGGATAAAGACTGCAAAGTATTGATATGACCATTGTGTTAGAAATGAACAGAGAGAACACAAGGATAAGCAAATTTTATTAGTTGTAGGCTTGTAGTCTTAGCTAGTTAGCGTGTAGATGCCAAATTTATCCACGAACTTCTAACACTTATGTCTCATAAGATTATATTCGTTGTAGGGCACAGGTTGATGAACTACTTAATATGAAATATATGGATGCAACTGATTAATTTGCTAACGTCTATGGTTGAGTGCATGGCTTGTGACAAAAGGCAATTCACTTTTAAAAAAAGCAAATAGGGCCACGAGATAAATATATCCAGCCCCAACGTAAGGCCCTTTAGTATGATCAGTGTATTCAGCCCAACTCGGATCGGACAATAAACGTCCTGGGCTTGTCGATGGTCCATGGAACAAGCACTTTTCCAGCCCATTCAATATCTTGTGAGGATCCCCATTCTTTTTTTTTTTTTGGAAAAAGTCCATTTTACCTCATGAACTATCCTCGAAGTCTAGTTTTCCTTCGTGAACTCTAAATCCGGGTAAACCACCTCCCTCAACTTTTAAACCCGTTCATTTTACCTCCCTGACCCGGTTATAGGTGGTTTTCAAAAGCGGTTTTGTCTTTTTCTTTTTTATTTATTTCGGCTGAATTTTTGAAAAATTATAGTAAATCATAGAAAAATCATAAAATAGAAATCCAATTTTCTTGGACTCGACATGAGTATATCTACACAATGAATGTATAATATGGTATGCTTTAGTAAAAAGTTTTTGCTGTAGCTTTAGATCTATGCTTTTTGTAATTAATTCAAAGCTGCCGTTTTTATGGTCCAATTATGGTGAAATTTTTATGTTAGGCTAATTTCTATATGATTGAACTATAGTAAAAAATTTATGCTCATTGGATCATGTATAACTGAGTTATAGATTTATTTAGTTTTATACTTGTTAAATAGTTTTAAAAATAGTTAAAAGTGTGTAAAAATAGAAACGAGTATGAAAATTTTACTACAGTTAAATCATATAATAATTAGACCACCATAAAAAATTCACCACAATTGGACCATATAAACTGCAGCTATGAATTAATTACAAAAAAGCATAAATCTAAAGTTATAGAAAAAACTTTGTACTAAAGCATACCATACTATATGTTTACTATGTAAATCTACTCATGTGGAGTCCAACAAAATTAAATTTTCCAGTTTATGATTTTTCTGTGATTCACTATGATTTTTCAAATATTCAGCAAAAAAAAAAGATAAAACCGCTTTTGAAAGCCACCTATAACCAGGTCAGGGAGGTAAAATGAACAGTTTTAAAAGTTGAGGGAGGTGGTTTACCCGGTTTTCGAGTTTAGGGAGGAAAGCTTGACTTCAAGGGTAGTTCAACGAGGTAAAATGGACTTTTTTCATTTTCTGGGAGGATCATGGGTACTGCAGCCCTTTTATCTCCGAAGCCCATTACTGCAGGTATTGGGCTCTGAACCCACTTCTGCAACTACTGGGCTTTTAATTAAGCCATCGTCGCAGTAGAAAGAAAGCCCGCCATCCATGCATGCATCTCTCACCGTTGGGAGGCAAGAGAGATCGCACGCGCACGCACACTCGCATCGCATCCCAGGCAGAACCCTCGCCGCCGCCGCCGCCGCCGCCGATGACGTCCGTGCGCAGCTCCGCCGCGTCGCTAGCCCCGTCGATCCGCGGGGCGGCGGAGCTGGTCCGCCAGGAGGCGCTCCGGCGCGAGCTGGACGGGTGCCAGCTGCTGGCGGGCATCTGGTGCCACGGGTTCACGGTGGCGCAGCTGCGGAGCATCCGCGCGTCGCTGCCCTCCACGGCGCGGCTGGTGGTGACCAAGAACTCGGACATGGCGGCGGCCGTGGCGGGCACCCGGTGGGAGGCGCTCAGGCCCTGCGCGCGGGGCATGAACGCGTGGCTCTTCGTGCGCTCCGACGAGATCCCGCCCGCGCTCAAGCCCTACCGCGACTTCCAGAAGGAGTGGAAGCTGCAGCTCAACGACTTCACCGGCGCCGTCTATGAGGGCCGACTCTACGGGCCCGATGACTTCGCGCAGCTCGAGGCCATGCCCACCAGGGTGCAGTCCTACCAGTACCTCCTCGGATGCCTGCAGATGCCCGCCGTCAACGTCCTCGCCGTCCTGCGAGCGCGGCAGGAGGCGCTTGCAGCGGAGGCCGACAAGCCGCCCGCCGAGGGAGAGGCGGCCGCGACGGCACCGGCGACGGCGAAGGCTGAGGAGAAGTGACCCGTCGACGAGGTTTCTTGGCGTTCGTCTCACTCTGCCTCTGCCTTCTTGTATGTTTTTGCAGCTGTGGCTTGGCTTAAAGGAGGCTCCTTTTTTCCGTTCCTCTTGCGCAAATTTGTGCTCCTAAAATTTGTTCAGTTCGGCATACATGTAGTTCAAAAATATGTATCATAACGACACATTGCTATCATGTTCAACAACACCATTTTGGATGTTGGAGTGATGTTGAATTGCCATTTCTGGTTCAGAAACCAGACTCAAAGAAATTGCAATGTCGAGTTCTCCGCTGTGCACTACTGAGTGTCCTATGCTGGTGCATTCAGTTGAAAAATAAGTTTAGAATTGTGATGTTTAGTCATCTGAAAATTAAATTTGCTAATTGCTGCTGTGTATTATTTGAAATAAGTAGTTTTGGCATTGCGCATCTGCAAATTGGAATGAAGTGTGCTGGTTGTAAGAGCATTCAAGAATCATGAACCCAATTTTCTCCTGAAACCAGCAGGAGGCAAACAAAGGCAATACTCGCTGGAAACAGTGCTAGAACATGTTCCCAAGCTGTGCGAAGCTTGAGCATTTGAAGACACAAATATCTAATGATCACGAGCCATTACTCATTCGTGTCAAAAATCTAGCCAATACGGCATATTGCCTTTATACTGAAGGTCCAATGATCTGTCTTTCTGGTACCGTACATAAACATATATATAACATAACTACATACATTCCTCTTCCTATACATAATACATGGCAAGTAAATTGCGGATGTTTCCAACTACACGAGTGCTTGAGCGTCCAACGACATCTTGCACCCTTCCTCTTCGGGTCCAGGACGAATCAACCCGATAGAAGCCACCTCAAATACTCAGTTCCATCAGCATGCGCAGGCCCATCATCAGGAGCAGCTACCCTCTTCCGCATCAAACTCTCAACAGATACAGGTTTCCTCTTGCGACCACCTACTGAGCGTGGTCGCTGCTCATCAGCCTCGACAAAATCACCCTGCAAACAATTAATTGACGGGAAACCATAAACATCCCCCTTGCAACATGCATTTCTGAAGGAGAAAGCACAATGTAGGATTTCAAGAAAATTGTTATCAGGTGGCCATTTGTGATACCTCAGTGTGCACATGAGCGCTTGACTTCTCATGATTGTCCCTTACATGCTTGTAAGAAAATCTCTTGCCACACCCAGAGAATTGGCATACAAAAGGCCTACGCTGCTCATGGACTGCCTTAACATGCTTGTCCAAATTGGATTTCTGCAGTTTCAAGTTCACCAAGAATGAATAACAGAGTGTTTTTCCCGATAAATTCGACGTAAACAAACCATAAGAGAATCAAATAGTGTTAAGATTAGAAACCACACCTTTGAAAATGAACATTTGCAGTCCTCGAAGTGGCATTTAACCCTCTCAGTGACGCATGAACCTTCATGCATCCGACGATGGTGCTGGAAATTCTTCTTTAGCTGTTTCGTGCCACAGATATCACACTGAACATGTTGATGACAGGATTGGTTATGCGCCTTGAGGCATTCTGTGTTTGAAAAGAATTTCATGCAACCTGGTTCACAGCAGATAACTTCTGTGTATTCCAGCTCGACTGCACCACAAGTACCAAAGGTTTATCATGACAGAGAAACTACTATCAACGTTGATAATAAGCACACTTGCATACAAATTGTTATGCAGAATAGATGAAAAGCATGCACTAAGGCAGAAGACATAAAATAATCATATCAGAGGGCAGACCCAGAAGGGCAGGCCTGGTGCAGTGGTGAGCGCTGTCTCACTGAGTCACCAGGTCGTGGGTTCGTAAAGACTAGAGAGTTCATATTGATAACTACGGCTCAGAGGATGACATAGACCAGAACTACCTACTAACAATATCATCAATATACTATATCAATTGGGCTTTCAAAGTGTGCTATTTAAATTTAAACTCAGTATCAGAAATATGGAAATTGTTGTAAAGTGTGTCTCTCACCATGTGATTCTTCATGCTTCTTTAACTTGGAAGCATATTTGAAAGTCTTCCCACAGTTAACCTCTGCACAGATGAATTCTTTCTTACTTTCACAAGGAGAGCCATCTTTGTGAATTTCCTGAACATGTCTCTGCATATTACCCTTGATATTGAACTTACGGCCACATCCTTCGATAGGGCACACAAATAGTTTCCCTTCATGAGTAAGTAAATGTCTGCTCAAATGATCCTTCCTGCTATAGCTCAAGGGGCAACCATCAACGGTGCAGGAATAGGGCCTCTGCAGTAGTTTTGGAAACACATGTATCACAATATAGTATGAAAGCAAGGTTTAGAAATAATGTAATTAGAGCTGCAAACAGTACCACAGAGGGGCAACCGAGCATGCTACGACATGATGTTGAAGTAGTGTGAAAATAATAGAAAATACAATTATAAAAGCACATGTAAATAACAACAGAAAAGGAAATCCTAGAATGAGAAGGCTGGAACGAAATGACCAAACCTGAAGAAGCGCGTGAACAAAGCACTCTTGATGGAGCTTCTCAGGACGGTCTCCCGATCCTGATACTAGTCCATTCAAGGCCTTATCGCATTTTGGAGTTCTTTGGGATCCAATGCTTCACGCATTCATATGTCAATAAGTAGGCTGCAAAAATCAGCAAATCAAATGCCATACAACAATCCAACTAAAAACAGGGCTGAATAGGAACTATATCTTATCCGCAGAACTCACTTTCAAAGGGCGTACCCAGTGCAGAGAGCTCTCGCTCTGTACTGGGTCTGGGGAAGGGTGTCAGTGGCAAGCCTTACCCTCGCCTGTGCAATGCGAGAAGACCGCGACTCGAACACGGGACCTTCCGGTCACAGGCGGTAAGACTCTACCGCTTGCACCAGGCCCGCCCTTCGCAGAACTCACTTTCAAATGATAATTAATTTGGTTTTTGCATCAAATGTATCATTCCACTAAGGAAGATTATGATCCAATCATTTCAGGGAACACATAACTAAAGTTGAGCATATAAGCTACACAGAACAGGAGTTGTGTCTCTATATGCCTGCTAAATATACCCCGTTTACTATTTGATAGCGAGGCCATCAAGTGGTGACAGCTATAAATACTAAAACAGCATTGCAGCGTCAATCCGTGAGTTATCAAATATGAAAAAAACAGCAGACACCCAACTCGTTGAAAAAGTGGCATCCCATGCTGAGACTAGACCTTTAGCATATGCCATGTAACAGCAACATAATAACAAACAGAAAGCAGCTCTGAACAGCACAAAATAGACAACCTGAAGAATAGCGTGAACGGAGGCACTCTTGATGGAGCTTCTCAGGAGGGTCTCCCCATCCTGGTACTGGTCCATTCAAGGCCTTCCCGCATTTTGGAGTTGTTTGGGATCCAATGCTTCACACATCCATATCTGAACAAACAGACTACAAAATCAGCACAATTAATAACACAATGGACTAAAAAATGTCCATGAGATAGAGTCATCCACAGAACCAACTGTTATAACAGGTTTATAGCAACCACACCAAAAGCCATGTAGCTTGCATTTCGGCCTTTTCTTACACAAAAAACATTAAAGCGGATAATAACAAATCAGGTGAGCACTACTAGCCTGAGCATTCACTGAGCATATACCATAACCCAACATAAGCCAGATCAGTACCTCGAGCGAATGGCTCTGCATATGTTGCTTCAGATGTGCCGGCTTCTTGAAGCTCATCCCACACTGTTGGCACTCACGGCTGAGCTCTTTGCGCGGACCACCATCTCCACCTTCCCAGTAACCCCCCAAAGCATCCACCTCATCCTACACACACACACCCATAAGTGTTACCCCTATAGAACAATACAAAGAAGAATGCGCGCATCTCTGAAGTCTGAACCAAGCGACGGCGAGCGAGCGAGCTAGCAGCACCGCTGGTACCTTGTGGTGCTCGAGCACGTGGGCGCGGAGCAAACACTTCTTGGACCGGACCACGTCGCAGAACCCGCACTTGTAGCGCCTTATATCCCTCAGCGGCGCCGCCGTGGTCGCCCCGCCGCCGCCGCTGCTCTCTGTCCCTTCCCCCATCTGAGACTGACTAACCCCCCTGAAATCACAACAAAATAAACTAAAATTGAGACGGGAATCCCAGAATTAGCGCCACGCGCTACACCAACCGGAGGAAACTGACCTCGAACCGCGAAGGGAGCCGCGGGATCTGCAGGATCGCCCGCCGCCGCCGTGGAGAGGGAGGTAGCCGCCGCTCAGGAGAGAAACCCTCGACTCGCGAGTCGCCAAGCGTAGTGGGCGACAAGCCAAAGCCAACCACTGGCAGATGGGCCTGATGAGAATTGGGCCCACCTTGCAGTGACCGGAGAGAAGTTTCAGGGAAGCCTAACCATCACCACATCCACAACCAGAGTGTAGTGAGACTTATCGGGTTCGGGTTCAGGTTCGTTAACAGGTTACGGGTCCTGTTGCGGGAGGCGCACGTGCGCTCCGTGCCTCCGTTTGGGTGGGGTGGGCTGCCTACCGCAGCTGGTGTGGCTGAAGTGAGCTCCTCTCCGCCTCCACCCGCGGCCGTACGCTCCCGAGCTCCACCCGTCGCGCCCCGACCGAGCTCGTCGCCGGCGATGGCATCGGCGGTGGCCGCTTCGACCGCCACGCGGTTCCTCCCGCGGCTCCCGGACCCTTGGTGGCCGCGCCGTGCGCGCGCGGCGCTTCCGCCGCTCACGTGGCGGCCTCCCGCGGTCACGGTGGTCGCCGCATCGTCCCGCCCTGGGGAACCGGAAGGTGGGCGGCTGGGGAGGACGCGGAGGCGGCGCTCCAGGGGGGTGGAACAGGAGGAAGGCGTCTCGCTAAGCTCTGGTGAGACGATTGCTCGGCTCCACCGCCGTCTAGCTTCTGCTCCTCGGCGCCCAATAACTCGTGACGAATTTTGAAACCAAGTTCCTCAGACAGAAGGGGAATTCCCATGTTTGTGTGATGGTTTCTAAGCTTAACGTCCAAGTCGATTTTCCAGCGACTACAGTCCATGGTTGCATGAGATTACTCGTTCCTCATTGAGACTGATGGCTCACAGTGGATATGTATGCAGAAAAGGAGTCGATAAATTCTACTCCACGTGCTCAAACCATCAAGGGTGCGGAGCCCGTACTGGTTTCCAGCACGAACAGGAAAGGTGCCATTAGAAGGGTGACACTGGTGGTCAGTTTCTTCTATCTACGTACCATTTTGTTGATTCAGTTTGGAGCTAGTTCTATGCATGGAGCTAATATATTGGGTTGGTTCAGGTTCTCGCTGCGGTGGTTTTTGGAGTTAGCATTGCGTTGAGGGATGGGGCTGAGAAGGCATCGGAGTATTTTTCTGGGTATGTGCTATGCGTATCCCTTTGTATTTAGCATCGACACTGTTTTACAAAATGGTTATAAGTTTGGCTACCTTTTGCATTAAGATTCCCAGGATTACATATGAATAACAGCACATTGAGAAGCACACAGCACTGCATATTAGCTTTAACTTGTGTTTGTTTTTGAATGGATCCTTCGTTGTTTCGTGCAAGTTAGTTTGGTTGCTTCTCATCTAATCATACATCTTGCTATTTCCTTCCTCCAATAACCACTTTCATTTAAATGCTATTAGTTTGTATACTTGAAGATCAGCTTAATTTTGTGTGTTTTATAACATGATCAATCATGACAACAGTTTCCTTAAACTCTATACATAACAATGTAATCTTGTCCTGTTATCTAACAGGTATTTATTGGAACAGAGTTTGTCGGTGGACAATCTCTTTGTTTTTGTTCTGGTCTTTAAGTATTTCAAAGTGCCAAATGAATACCAGGTATGTCTCATGGCTGCTGCAACAGTTGAAATTCAAGTCAACTTTGTGCCTTTTCTCATCATTTCCGATGTCTGTAACCAGAATCGAGTACTTTCTTATGGTATTGCTGGAGCTGTGATCTTCCGGGCTGTGATGATCATCTTAGGAACAGCTACCATCCAGGTTGATTGTTCTCTAATGCTACTGTTGGTTATGTTTTTCATTTATCATATTATATTGACTGTTACAGTCTTCTAATTTTCTGTAGAAATTTGAGGCAGTGAACTTGCTGTTGGCTTTGATCCTGTTATTCACTTCTTACAAGGTAAGACTGTTTATTTTCACTAAAAAAAGATGGGTCACACTTTACTTTAAGCCCCTTTTGGTAAACTTGTTATTTTACCATGTTTAAGATTAGCATAATAGTGGCTAGCATGCATTGTTAACTTCATGAGAATGGTAAACTCGTCACTTTTTATTCCAACTTAAAAATGATCTACTTGTTCATTTCCTGCAATTACACTTTTGGCAAAAGCAAAGTCCTGTCTTTTGACAGCTTCAACGAGTGCTTGTTTCTAAACTATTCAGTGTATTCCTTCTATCACTCAGTAGTAATATCAATATACCATAATGGCATGCTTCTTTTCTGAATCTATTCTTGTTCCACCTGTATTGTTACATTTCAATCTTATGCCTGTGTAAGTAAGTTAACCCTCAGAAGGGAAAAAAGAAAACAATCGTCACACATATTCCCAATTTATATCCACTTTTGTGATGTTGAAAAGTCTCTTCAAGGTAGTTGTGCAGAGCTTCTTTAAGTGACTTCAAGATATTCAACAAGGGCCACAGCACTAATACTTTAGTCTTAACATAATGGCAGCTATTTGCTAAAGAAGAAGAAGAATCTGATCTATCCGACAACTTCATTGTGAAAACATGCCAAAAGTTCATTCCAGTCACTGGTAACCAACTTTATTCAATGATTTTCAGTTTTCCTTACCTATCTGCTATTTAGATTATTAACATGATCCATTGTTCACTCCAGATTACACAGCTAAAATGACCAGTATTCAGTAATTTACTTGCTTCATGTCTAGTTGAGCTCATTCCCATGTTTCTCCTGTCAGATTATTATGATGATGATCAGTTTTTCATATTTCAAGATGGTTTATGGAAAGTAAGTGTTGTCCATTTTAAGCTGGATCTTTTCTAAAGCTACCATGGAATGAGCTTTGTCCTGGAATATGAATTTTTTATCCGTTCCCAATCACTTAATGTGTTACTATTTCAGCATTCGGTGTTATGTTTCTGTTCACACAAAATAGATGCATGGTTGTGTGGACACATTAAAGGAATTTTCTGTCTTTGTAAAGTTATATATTTTCCTGAAGATGCAATACTTCTTTTGGTTGATATCTGCAGGCTACACCATTACTCTTGACTTTGGCAGTGATTGAGCTGAGTGATATTGCTTTTGCCGTAGGTTCCTTCCAAGCTATTTTCATGTGCAGTTCTTCCTTTTCTATTTTATGACTCTGGGTATAGGTATTAACATTTCTGTTATACAGATTGACTCAGTACCAGCAGTTTTTGGCGTCACAAGGGATCCACTTATAATACTATCATCAAATATTTTTGCTATTGCTGGTAAATATTCTGCCTTTTTATGTTGCAATCTTAAATTTTCTTTATGCTTGATCTAAATCTTATGTGTGGTACAATTTCTGCACTTCTAAACAATGTCAAGAACTAACTTGATGGAAACATTGTTATGTCAGGTTTGCGGTCGCTTTATGTGCTCATTTCTGAAAGCATGGGTGAATTGGAGTATCTACAGGTGAATATCCACAGTCCACTTTCTTTTTTTAAGGTTTATTGGGCTATTTTCTATTTACCTTTCGATGTTGAATATTTATATTTTATTTATTTTCTTCTGTTATCTTGCTTTAGAACAAACAAATCATTCAGGTTTACATCACCCATTATGAAAATTAGGTCCATGTAGGTAATTGGAGGTATTGATATTTGTTGTTGACTAATATCCAACACTACCAATTACCACTAGCATTGCAAATGTGAATGGTCAATGCCCGAGCAGATTCATATATTGCTCTATGATCTAACTGCACCACTTACTTCTATTGGCAATTTGCTCTGCAGCCTGCCATTGGTATCGTGTTGGGCTTTATAGGGACAAAGATGATCTTTGACTTTTTTGGTGAGCAATTAAAAACATTATCTAACTCTTATTTTGTCACATTCATATTCAATATGCTCACCTAATGTTTTGATCTCTTTTTTAGCAGCATACAAAGTGACATTGCTGTTTTTTGAGTGCTTTTCGTCTCATCTAATTACCGGTTTCCACTTATTATGGCAGGTTATCATATACCAACAGAAGCTTCGCTTGCTATTGTAACTACCTGTCTTAGTGGAGGCGTCATATTAAGTCTTAGGAAAGCATCAAAAGAGGAGGGGGACAAGTAGAATGATGCAACAACACATGCAGGTAAAAGGAATGGATCAGCTTGCTCCATTTTTTTTGGCAGATAGTCAAGCTACAAAAGAAATTATAATAAACACTAGAGGCCAGGTAAACATACCCTTTTTCACTAAACTAATTACTTGTATAAAAGATCTAGCTTGACAGAATATGTTGTGATCTGTATATGTAGTCTTAGCTAATGCCTTGTTCATTCAAAATAGATTCAATAGTTTCTGTATGTTCTACATTTGAAGTAAGTTTAGGAGCCACCAATAACGAGGTTAAAACTATACTGATTGCCAAGGCCACCACAAAATTGCGCTCTTTAGATGCTTCCATTCGATTAGTATCATCTGAACACGATACCATCCAGTGATTCCAGTCCCACAGGTTAGCTGCACATGACATTGTGCCTGTAATGCCTCCACAGGGTTTGCCATGTTGTTATGAACAGGATTGCCTGAAGTGTAGTTTGGGGATAGCCTTGCCAACCTTTTTGCAGTTCTTTGACTTAGCATATAGCAAAAATAAGGAAGTTTCTCAAATGGGTTCACTTTGATCTTTAGCGTCAGGGTTGAATATCATCACCATGGCTTAGGGTGCCACATCATCATACTGAAACCCCTGCATCCCCTCACATAGAGCATTGGATTGCTAATACTACCATAATAAGCATTTAAGTCTTAGTTATGGCAAATTCTAGATGTGTCAAGTGACAACCATGTTTGAAACCGATGGCGACTTAGGAAAACTATCATTGCTCAGAGTTCTACTGAATTTCTTTTCTGCCTTTTCTTTCTGGTGTTTTCCAGATCATCAGATTCGTCCTTTTTCTTTAGAGGTGTTCAGATTCATCAGTTGTTCTCATTGCATCCAAGTCCAGTAGTCAATTCCCAAATTGTGCATCATTCATGCCATATTTATTTCCTTTTGAATATTCATGGTGTGAATCGTGAGAAAAAAAAATGGTCCCAAGGAATTGTCCAACATTCCTCCTTGTCAGACCTTGCATATCTAACAAAAATGCTTTAGTTGGCTACATACCTTGCTATCTTCTAGTGGAAATCTTGATTCCTATTCTACATATACTGTCACTTACATCCAAATTGTTTTCCCCTGGTGATTCCTATTCTACATATACTGTCACTTACATCCAAATTGTTTTCCCCTGGTGCAGTTTGGTTCATTCACTGTTCAGTTTACATGAACAGAGGTAGAAGGCCTTGCAGGCACTTGCAAGTTGCAGTCTGCATAAGGGTTGCACTAGTGGTAGCCTCTACCACTTAGCTGACTGACTTGAAAGCAATTTAGCTGATGGCTGCGATCTCAGTATAGAATCACAGATATGATCAATGCAAGGCATGGCAATGGCACTGGTGCCTGATCCTAATCTGGACGTACCATGAGCTCGTTCTTGAACCCAAAGGTTTTGGGGCCACGTTATGGTGAGTGGCCCTATTGAAGACTGCAGCATGAAGAGCTAGGATTCCTCTCCTTGTAATGTCTGTTTCTTTTTAACCTAGCACATACAGTATATTCTGAACATGATGGATTATGAGCCTTGATTTTACAGTGTATCTCAAACAATGATATGCCGTATGCTCAAGCTTTCTAGTACATTACAACTGTATTAAATTTAATCATTATACTTCATTCTTGTAGCTTACGCTTTCGACCTGAGATGTCAAATGAATTCATCCTCTACGCATGTAATGTAGGACCATATGTGTGTAATATTCTAAGATTCGGCCGCTCCAGTATATGCCATTCAGACACCAGAATTCTGATATTTGGAACAAGCTTCCAGAATTAGTCAAGCGGTATAGCACAACTGCACAAGGATAAGTTCACCAAGGGAAAGTAGCAAACCAATTGTACTGAGAAACTGTTTATTGATCACACTGAAACCTGAAAATGCAGAATAACCACCACCCTTATGCTCGACTTTCCAACTTATATACAAATTTACGTGAGCTAAATCGACTTTGTTGATGACATAATAAAGTGACTAATCATAGAACCCTGACAAGCATGACTGCATAGGCTCAGACCTTCGAGCCATCGACTTCAGCAGCGTAAACCTGGCCATATTCACCCTTGTTGTCATCCTCGTCCAGGTAGTCAGCCCTTGCATTGAGGGCCAGCATCTGGCAAACAAGCCAGAAGAGAGCGGCGTCAAGGGCAAGGAAAGCAGCGCCACCAAACAGACCGGTCTTTGCAGTAGGGCACTGGTAATTCATGTCGTGGTGGATGTTCTTGCTGCGGTGAAGTCCCTCGGTGACAGTTGCCCACAACAACATTGCAAAAGCCAGGGCTGAGACAAGCCTGATTTCACATAAAGGAAACAGAATCAACAATGTGCATCTTTGTTACTACAAAGAGACTAAAGAGCAGAAAATAGCAGTGTACATGTACTCGTTCAAAACTAGTTATACAATGGCACTAATGGTGACAAAATATTGATAGCTCTAAATCATCAGTGCAAAAAAATCATGATGCAAGATTTTAGCATGATTAGCACTGATTAACGTGATAAAAAAATAATTAGTTCTCTATGAACTTCTAGAAGGGAAATTCTACATTATTAGCATTGATTAACAATACAGAATAAATTAAAAGATTTCAGGGTCCAGGAAAGGCAATTCTGGAATGCAAAACTTAGATGGGTCAGTTTGCAGTTCAATATCCCAAACGGTAGGGGGGCCGGACAAGTGAACCACATAAAAGAAAACATAAGCATGCAAGGCATATTGTTTCCAGAGCACATGGGACTCTTAGTCATATAGCTGAAAGGATACTTACTCAGCTACAACAAAGAACACTGTCAAGCTGGTGCTTTGAAACAGTGCTCCGCGAGGAACTGACTTGCCCGAGTATGGAAAAAAGATAGCAACATGGCCAACAATGGCAGCTACCACAAGTGCCACAATGGACAGGCTTCCCATTGCAAGAGTTGGATCACTTGGAAACTTGCAGATGACGACATCCTTTCCTGGGATAGGAGTCCCAGAAGCAGGCTGCAACAAAGACGGTATAAAAATAAATTTACAAGCATGTTTATAAAAAACCATAGCAACTATATAGGTTGAAAAATAGAAGACAGTAAGCATAAGCTATGAGCTGTGTCATAACTATAAGACCTTTTGCCTATACCCTATAGTGGTACCATGGTTACAACGCAAAACTTGAGGCTGAAGAAAAACTAGCGCAAGGAGAAACAAGAAAGAGAAATCACCTGCAGCTATTCACATGGTGATTTCTCTATTTTGCTTCTCCTTGCATATTTATATTAAGAATATGAAATAGGGGCTCTTTACCCCCTTTTCATCTTCTTAATATAAAGATACACAGCTCTCCTATGTGTTCATGAAAAAAAATGGGTCTTTGTTCAACCTAAAACTGTGCATGGTGATAGATGTTTGTGTATCCATCCATATTTTTTGGGTGCTACTGTATGTTAGCACGGTAGCAACAGATACAACAACAACAAAGCCTTTAAGTCCCAAACAAGTTGGGGTAGGCTAGAGTTGAAACCCAGCAGAAGCAATCAAGGTTCAGGCACGTAAATAGCTGTTTTCCAAGCACTCCTATCTAAGGTTAAGTCTTTGGGTATATTCCATCCTTTCAAGTCTCCTTTTATTGCCACTACCCAAGTCAACTTCGGTCTTCCTCTGCCTCTCTTCACGTTACTATCCTGGCTTAGGATTCCACTACACACCGGTGCCTCTGGAGGTCTCCGTTGGACATATCCAAACCATCTCAACCGGTGTTGGACAAGCTTTTCTTCAATTGGTGCTACCCCTAATCTATCATGTATATCATCGTTCCGAACTCGATCATTTCTCGTATGACCGTAAATCCAACGCAACATACGCATTTCCGCAACACTTATCTGTTGAACATGTTGTCTTTTCGTAGGCCAACATTCTGCACCATATAACATAGCAGGTCTAATCGCCGTCCTATAAAACTTGCCTTTTAGCTTCTGTGGTACCCTTTCGTCACATAGGACACCAGATGCTTGGCGCCACTTGATCCACCCTGCTTTGATTCTATGGTTAACACCTTCATCAATATCCACGTCTCTCTGTAGCATTGATCCTAAATATCGAAAGGTATCCCTAGGAACTACTTGACCTTCCAAACTAATATCTTCCTCCTCCCGAGTAGTAGTGCCGAAGTCACATATCATATACTCAGTTTTAGTTCTACTGAGTCTAAAACCTTTGGACTCCAAAGTCTCCCGCCATAACTCCAGTTTCTGATTCACTCATGTCCGGCTTTCATCAACTAGCACTACATCGTCCGCGAAAAGCATACACCAAGGGATGTCCCCTTGTATGTCCGTTGTGACCTCATCCATCACTAAGGCAAACAGATAAGGGCTTAAAGCTGACCCTTGATGTAGTCCTATCCTAATCGGGAAGTCATCCGTGTCTCCATCACTTGTTCGAACACTAGTCACAACATCATTATACATGTCCTTAATGAGCCCGACATACTTCGTTGGGACTTTATGTTTATCCAAAGCCCACCACATAACATTCATTGGTATTTTATCATAACCCTTCTCCAAATCAATAAAAACCATGTGTAGGTCCTTCTTCTTCTCCCTATACCGCTCAATAACTTGTCTTATTAAGAAAATGGCTTCCATGGTTGACCTTCCGGGCATGAAACTAAATTGGTTCATAGAGACCCGCGTTATTGCTCTCAAACGATGCTCGATAACTCTCTCCCATAGCTTCATAGTATGGCTCATCAACTTAATTCTCCGGTAATTAGTACAACTTTGAATATCCCCTTTATTCTTGTAGATCGGTACCAATATACTTCTCCTCCACTCGTCAGGCATCTTGTTCGATCGAAAAATATGGTTAAACAGCTTGGTTAGCCATACTATAGCTATGTCCCCGAGGCATCTCCACACCTCGATTAGGATACCATCCGGTCCCATCGCCTTACCTCCTTTCATCATTTTCAACGCCTCTCTGACCTCAGA